GCGACTCTCTCTTTCTCTCTCTCTCTCTCTCTCTCTCTCTCTCTCTCTCTCTCTCTCTCTCTCTCTCTTGGGGTCGGTGGGATGGTCATGAATTTTCAGGAGACTTAGATCACCTCGAGAAGGATTTTCCTTTCAAGGGAACCATCATAGCCAGAAAGGGTTTGATGAACCACAAGTTGGTTTCCGGTTGACTTCAATTGAGCATTCCTGAGAAGGGACCCCATCGAGCTGCTCAAACATGTGGCTGAGTTGAGTCGCCTGACTGTGAAGGTGCTGGGTCAGGGCTGTGAAGTTCTTCCCAAGCAAACCCATCAAGCATCTAGGGGAGCAACCAGCCGTTTGTTCACCCTTCCTAGCAAGAATCTTTTTTGCAACCATCGACTTGTGATGGGGTTTCTACTGTGGACAAACTCCTGCAGTTGGTGGTTCATCCCATTCATAGGGTTTCATCCATCCCACTTGCTAGGAAGGACTTTTGTGTTCAGAATGGGATTCCTAGGAACTCCTTCGCGCGATCCGTTTTGCCGTTTTTTTTTCTTGAGGAGGCCACTTCACCAGGCGGGAGAGTTGGCGCGGGAGAGGGAGGTGTGAAGTATGGCTGCCCCCAAAAAACGGCAGAAACCAGGGCCAGGTTTTTGGGCGAACCTCCAAGAAAAGCCAGGTCAAATCTCCTCTTTCCAATGGACGCTGAAAGGTCTTGAGAAGGCCCGATGCAGGTTTGGTCGGATTTGTGTGGCCTCGGGGCTACCAAGTATTCCGGCAAACTGAAGTTTCCCATGGAGAGGCCTACCTCGACAATACGACGCACAGTGCATGGGGTATGGAGTTCCACTGCTAGACAGGTAGGTAGGTAGATAGATAGGTAGATAGATAGGGACAGAGGCAGAAACAGAGACAGAGACAGAGACCGAGACAGAGACAGAGGCAGAGGCAGAGACAGAGGCAGAGGCAGAGACAGAGACAGAGACAAAGACAGAGACAGACAGACAGAGACAGAGACAGACAGAGACAGACAGAGACAGACAGAGACAGACAGAGACAGACAGAGACAGACAGAGACAGACAGAGACAGACAGAGACAGACAGACAGACAGACAGACAAACACATCGATACATAAATACAGGACTAATTGAAAGCATAGAATAAATGGAGCAACCATCATAACGCGAATAGATATGATAAATAGAATAAGCAGAAGAACAATCAGTATCTACAGGTGCTTAGTTCTCTACAGCCAAGCAACGCGCTTTCTCTTTTTGCATCTAGGGCCGTCGACCCAGCGCTGCCTTGCCGGGCTTTCGCTCATATCCACTCATCCACCGAAGTAGTTCGACATGTTTTCGAGACAGCCTAAATCGAGAGCCCGAAGTAGCGGTTTTACTACCTTCACAAAGGTTCAAGCAAGTAGCAAGGCCTATGCAAATCTTTGGAAGTTAGTAGAACGAAAAGTCAATGGGTTTTGTTGCTGCCCAATTGGGAAGCAACAGCCGAAGCAGCCACAATCAACACCTGGGTCGATGAAGCATAAGCAGTTTTGACCAGCAAGTGCTAATATCCAACCTTGTGTTTTGGGATATGAGTTGGGCAATTTTGCCTTAAATTCTTGGGATAAGAGAACAGTCCTATGGTTGTCAAGCGCCCCCCCCATACACCACATAAAATTAAAAAAAAAAAAAAAACAGCTGGGGTTGCGCAGGTTTGGTCTTTGTTTCCATATACCACGGTGCCATTTGGGGTACTATTTTTGAGCCAAAGCCATAATGGACCGCAATAAAGACCTTGTTAGGCACCAGGCACTTGGCAACCATCGTCACCCACAGACCTCCCCGATTTCTCAAAATCGGAGGTGCTGCTGCGAAGGCGCGCGCCAACTCGATCGCTCGGGCCGAAAACGGGGGTAGGCGGACGGGCGACTGGCTATGCTATTGGTTGCTATTTGTTGATCTTGGTTGCTATTTGTTGATCTTGGCTACTATTTGTTGATGGTACTGTATGTGTGCAATCCCGCCCTAGCAATAAAGCGCTCCTCGGTGACACCCAAGTCTTCAGGGCTCTTGTTTGAGTAGGGCCTTTCTGCCAGTTTTTCGTCTGCTTTCCTCTTTTCGTCCCCTTCCTGGGGCTTGTTCCCAGGACGTTGGTCAATATCAGTTGTCAATTGCGGGGGTGCCATGAGTCACATGAGCCTCAAATCAAATTACCGTAAGGAAATGGCTTGTTTTCTTACCAAAGTTCCATGTCAGCTGACATAAATATAGACCGTGGCCCACACGAGGAATTTCAATATTGAAACTCTGTCTTCCTGAGCAGGTGGAGTCAGGGCGCCAGTTCATTTCCAGTTTTGGGTCGCGGACTTTCTAAAACAGTCTTCGTCGGGCAGGTCTCATAGGACCTTACAGCGTTTTTGGTATTTACTGGCCAGTTGTGGGGCGGGGGGCTGTGGAGCCTTTTGCTGAACCAGAGGTTGGGAAGATAACGGCTATTTTTCCGCCATCTCTTTCTTTGCTTTCAGCATGTTTTGCTCTTTCCATTTGAAACTGATGCAGTTATTAGTTGTAATCGTGCTATTTTATTAGACATGTCCATCTCTTGTTGTTGCCATTCTACTTGAATAGAGTTTGTCACGTCCAAACTTTTGAAGTGGTTTTGTGCCAGAACAGCCGAAACGACTCCTCCAGGAAGATGGCGTGTTGGCTTGTAGAATCTGTCATGGGTTCTAAGAATGGCAGAAAGCCGAGGGGTTTGGTCTGGAATGCGGGTGCGTTCCCTTTTGCTCCACAGCCTTTTTTTCGTAGAGCCCACAGCGCTTCTTGCGCGCGAAGAGGGGAGCTTGGGATTTGGAGGTGAAGGCGAAGTGCAACTGGGAGGGTACACTTTCACGAAGCGCAACCAGAGGGGCCGGTATATTGTCTTTGATGGACTCCATCGGTTTTCCCTCAACCCCCATCAAAAAGCACTTCCCTGAACTAGGGCACGGCCCAAATTGTCCAGAGTCGTAGCCAGGTCGTACCCCTTTTCATACTCCTGGAAATGGTCCTTGTGACGGCGAAGACGTATGTGTTGCGCGACCGCCCGGAAGCGGGTCCCCAAGACCTCCAAAAAGCGTGGCAGGCGCAGCAAAGAAGGACTTCCGAGCCCCCCGAGCCCCACCCCAGCTTCAGCTCCATACCCCCTTCATGGAGCACGGCGACTTTACCTGGTTATATACTGCTATCATCAACACAACCCTAAATCTAAACCAGAGAAGCCAGCCTCAGATGCCCCGAACAGCCAGCTCCAAGCAAACCTGAACAATAGAAACCCTACTAAAAACCCTCAAAACTCTAAACCTAAACCCTAAAAACATTTCCCTAAACCCTAAAAACCTTAAACCTAAACCCTAAAATAACACTAAAAACCTTGAAAACCCTAAACCTAAACCCTAAAAACCCTCAACCTAAATCCTAACAACCCTAAACCTATGACCTTGTGGGCGACACGTATGTTTTGTGGGTAAATATACGTACATGTGTGCATTCACAATTGCCAAACAAGCGCCTTTTGTAGCCCTTTTGCAAGACCAGCTCCTAAAGACCCACATGGGCGTGCCTTTTTTTGGTACCCCTCCATTTTGGTGGTTTTTGGCGGGACACCAAAAAGGACCACCACCACTTTGCAGATGAAACCCACACCCACAAAGTCCGGGCGGGTAGCGTCTGTGTGTCCGCGGCTTCGTGCCACGTGGCGGCTCGCGACTCGTAGGAAATCGCCTGGCGCACCGTGGTGCCGCTCTTTCTGCAGCTCTGCGCCGATAGCGTGGCGCAGGTGGGGTTTTCGGAGTCGCGAAGTCCGTCGGTTCCATAGGCGTCCTTTTTGGGTAGTTTGCTTGAAAAATCGAGGGCGATCCCTGGGTTAGATGGGTTAGATGGGTTAGATGGGTTAGATGGGGTGCTGGGTAGATGGGTGTCCACATAAAAATAGAGCGCGATCCCTGGGTTAGATGGGGCTTCTGCCCCATTTCCCAGGGAAACCCCTCAATTTTTCCCAAATCTGGCCATCCAACTTTGAGCCGCGCCGGTGACTCGATTTGCCATGCCCGAAAAGAAATGGATGTGGAGCCCCTGAAGAGGGCGATTTTCCTTTTAAGATCTCTCTTTAAAGCCAAGCCCAAAGAGGGTAGCCTGGAAGAAACAGACCCAGTTGTCCATTCGAAGGAAACGGACCCTTTGGTGGTCATCATGTGCTATTTTGCAGTTCCAACCATCAAATTCGCAGCCAACTCAGTGCTTATTTGCTTTTCATTTACTCTGCCACCAAACATGGTGCACCATACCGTGTTGGTGGGTAGCACACTCCAAAAGGGGTTTCTCGTTTTGAGAGCGGCCGTTTTCGCGGCTGTTCTATGAAGCTTGGGTGGCTGTCCCTTGTGTGGAGCGAGTAAACGCCATCTTTGGACATCACCATTCCAGGGTTCATGGCTCGTGTCATGTATAACGCTCGGCAACATTTGGAGGTATGGACTCCTTTGAAAGGCCAGCTTCGAAGCAAGCGAGTTGCCGACGGCCGCAGAAAGCATTGGCTGGTAGACAGGATTCTTGTATCACTGCAGGCTGGCAGGTATGCTTGCAAGAGTTGTTATCTGGCTGTGGGTCAAAACCAATAGGATCCCATTTTGCTGTTTCGGGGTAGGTGCACCACCCATTTTAGTCTATTTTAACGGGGATTGGGATGTTCACTGGGGGTACGATTTGGATTTTGACCCATGGCCATCTGGGGCAGACACTGCCTCTGGAAGTGTACAGTACGCCTTTCTGCTCAAAGCGAGGTGTAGGCACAGCTGCCCGAGAGCAACCCACATTGCTTGACCATAAAGCGGCCATGGCGTGACCATTTTTTTGCTTGAAGCATGCGTCAGGGTCGGCCTTCTTTTTTTTGTTTCTTCCCAGCTTGCAGATCCATCACCGGCGAAGCCTTGAAGCTGTGCTTTCCGTGTCAACAGCCACCCGCCCAGCCCCACCCGACCAGCCCCACCCACCCGAACGCGAGAGACCAACGAGAGCTGGGGGCCGTGCCATGTGCCCTGCCTCTCGCTGAGGCGAGGACATGGATGGATCCGCTCAATCAATCTGTCCTCATTTGGGGGAGCTGCCGCAAGAATGGGTTGCTGGACCTTCTTATCCCCACCGAAGTCTCACCCATGGTTTTCCCAGTGCAAGGTGCCGCGATGGCCTAATTACACTTTGTTCCCAGAGAGGAGAGGGGAGTCTTGTGGGAGCAGAGTGTCGCCTTCCTTGCGGACAGGACAACTCCTGCAGGACTCATTTCCCCCTCATTTTTGGGCAAAAGGGGTTGCAGCTGTTTTTTCTCCTGGGGTTCATTCCCCTCATTTTCCCTGACCCCGCGCAAGGGGCCCTTTGGTTTTGCTTCCACCGCCACGGGGCGGTTTGACGGCGACGACCGGGTTTCACGTTTTGACTATCCCAAGATAGACTAAACCCCACGAATGCTTCATTCCCCCCAAAAGGAGAACTCGTCGAGTCTATCTTGTAGTCCAATAGTGGAACCCTGGGATCCTTCTTTCCAGAAAACCTCTAGAAACCCATGGAAAACGGCAGGTGTTGAAAAGAACGCTGATTGGAAAGAATGGAAAAGGAATCAACCCCTGGAGCCACGGGTGTTTTGATGGCGACCAAACCCGTGGTTTCGGTCGAGAAAAAATCGAGGCGCATGAACCGCACGCCATGGGCAGCGGGTGCTTCAAAGCTTCAGCCTACGAGCCTTTGGTGGCGCCCGGGTGGCAATGCATTTGCTACCAGTTTTTGTTCTTCTCTTTTTTTTCCCAGTACATTTAGTACATTCCTCAAAAACCAGGCAAATGTTCCCAAAGAAACGCAAATTTGGAGAGTCACCCATCTTTTGCGAGTTCCATGCTTTTCGACAAGCCCATAGCCACATGGCTGTGGTTGTCAAAACCGTTTTGGGATCCCATTTTGGGGTAGGTGAATGCACCACCCATTACCCATTGTTGAACCTATTTTAGTGGGGATTGGGATGTTCACTGCGGGGACGATTTGGATTTTGACCCATGCGAGCAGCCGGAGTTGCTGCAATGGAGAGTCGCCAATCTTGCGAGCTCCCTGCGTTTAGACAAGCCCATGGCCACATTGTGGGTTCTTGATTTTCCCAAACAGGGTGATGTCCCTCAATGAAAGACACACCCGCAGGGTTCTACTTTTTGACCATCACACGGCCAAGTTTCCCCAAGACAAGACTCGGGGCGCCAAAAGAGCAGCTGAAGGCACTGGACGAGCAGCCCCCCGGCCCGCCGGAGCTGCAGTTGCGGCTGCCCGGCAGTGCAATCAGCTGGGATCGGCTGCCGACGCCAAGCTGGGTGCCCTTCTTGGGGTGTCTTTTTTTGTGGGGGAAGCAAGAGCAAGACCGAAAGCACGGGTCTGGGCCCCATCCTTTGGTGTTTTTCTTGGAGCATCTGCGAGATCAGGAACCGTTCCACTTTTGGACTACCCCAAGATAGACTTGATTGAACCCAGGGGTGGCTCATTCCCCCCAAAAGGAGGAGCCCTGGGTTTGAGTCCTACTTGGGATAGGTCAAAGAGCGGATCAAGTCAAAAGCTCTACTGTGGGATGACCAAAAAACTGTGGCCGGCCGAACAGCTCCGGCTTCGCGCGGCGCGGAAGGCTGACGCGGAAAGGAGGAGGAGGGCCGCCGTGCATATATATCAAAGGGCCCATGCGATTTCTTTCTATTCTTCTTTGTTTTTTGGGGGGGGGACTCGGAGGGGCCCCTTTGTTTTCCACTAACCAGGCAAAAAAGATATATATATTTTTGCCGGGGCCCTAATTCCAGCCTAGTTGGGTGGTGTTTTTTTTCGGGTCCCACGTGAAGATCGATCCCTTTGAACCGCTGGAGAGCAGATTTTCCAGAAGCGGTCTGAAAGGGGACCTCACCGGGGTGTTTGTCCCACCCAAATAGGTACAGTAGGGATAGCCGCCCTTTCATTTCTTTGCATGGTTTCGGGTAGACCGGCTGGAGACCAGTGTTTTACCAGGTTTTGATTGTGTTTCAACTGTGAAACCTTGGATGATACTCGCCCGCCCCCCCAACGCGCTGATCGTTTTCATTGTGACCAAAACTACTCACTTCCCCGATTTATTTATTTGTTTAAAGAAAGAAGGGGTACTCGTTGGGTTTCAATCGGACAGTTATGACGTCAATCTTTTGGAGGCTTCACTAATGTGAGAACCCAGCATCCCGAATTCTCTCAGGCTCAGCCCTGTGCTTCGCGCATCAACGCGACCAGGAAAGTGCAGTGTCCAGGAGCCAAACGGGGCAGGCTTGGCTCAGAAGAAACCTTGATTATCAACCACTAAATCTAGGGCTTTAGACAGCCAATGTAAAGGTTCCTGGAGGAGTTTTGACCATCACATGGAGTGTGCTGAAGCATCATTTGCAGGGTTAACTAGGTGTGCGCCTTTTGCCGCCTTTTTTTTTTTGTGTGTGTGTGTGTTGGTTCAATTGGAAAGCAAGGGAATCTTGGTTCCTGCACGGAGCTGGCTGAGCGGGTGTTGCAGTCAACCGCTAGGGCCACGACTCCTGGTCCTTTCCTTGCGTGGGCTGGGGCTTTTCTGACAGGGATTCTTGGTTTTCTTTGTTGCATTTTGCCAAGGGATGTTGGGACTTCAACAATTTTTGCCAGCTAATTTTTGTTTTGCGGATAAAACCACTAAAAGTTGTTTTCTTTCTTGAAAACTTTTAGCAGGGGAGCAGAAAGCAACGGAGTTTTGGTTTGCCAAACCAACGGGAACCACCCGCCCTCGCAGCCGCGGCGCGGTTTTTGGTTAGGAGTTGGACGTGGTCCTGCAGTGCCTGGAAGGCCCAGAGGGGCAGGCGGGTCCTGGCGGAGAAAGCGTGTGGTACGTGGGTACAACCCACCCGAATCCATGGTTCTATGTTCAAGTGGGGAAGCCATGGTTCTATCTTCAAGTGGGGAAGCCATGGTTCTATGTTCAAGTGGGTTATGAGCAGGTCCAAAGACAACCTCACCCAACCCCATGGTTCTAGGTTCATGTGCAAGTGGGTTATGAGCAGGTCCCCCCAAAGAAAACCTCTTGGCCTTATTGAAGATCGAGGGTTGATCCCTTGGGGAAGGCGTGGGTCGGAGGCCTCGGGTTGTGACCAAAGCAAGTCTGGTCATGGCCACCTCAATGGGCTTTTTTGCGCTTTTGCATCGCGCGCGCGTGATACGTCTCCAACCCCTTCCGTGCAGGTCTGAAGACTTTTATGGGAGGGGCCTCAAGCTTTTGTGGGGGTCCAGAACTCCCGTGGGAGAGGAAAAACCATCTCAAGGCTCCAGATGTGTTCAAGGGATCGGTCGGAACTGTGTGCATGTCGCGCAGGCCGAATACCTGGTTCACTGGGCAGCCCGGCAGACCCCAAAGGCGCGGAGAGGCAGACCTTTGGCTTGGGACTCTTTTTTGGTGGGTCTCAAGGAGAAGCCAAAGGGAAAACGGAATGGCTTTGAGACAAACACGAGTGGCCGCCAAATTATCGGATCAATTGGTACAGGCGCCAATTTGACATTTGTCAAGTACCTGGCTTGTGCTTGCGTCCGAAGGACGCAAATGCCAATGAGTTCCGCACGTCCACTGACAACAAGGAGAATGCGGTGCACGCGGTCACCGGCAGTTGTCCCGAAAAACAAAGAGGAAGGTTTTGCCATGGCTTCTCTTTGATTTCACTTTGCTTTACCAGGCTCGCAGCGGCCTGGTAGCCTTGCTCCAGCGGGCCCTCGGACGGGTCTTCAGGAGCCGCGGGAGTTGTCGGCACTTCGGTCCATTGGGTGGAATGGGGAAACTGAAAGGACACCGGTGCTCTTTTCGTTTCTTTTTTTGTTTGGGGGGTCTCTCAATTCCAACATCGCCTGTTGTTAAAGCATCCCCTGTTGGGCCGAGTTTCATTGAGTTTCATTTTGGTTGTGTGATTCTCTTTGTGCAGGGCGCAGACTATGAGGAACCCTCTCAGTTTTCAGGATGTTCTCCCTGCATGGTTGGGAACCCTTCTGTGTGCATCATTTACCCGGGGATTCATGTCCACCAATCACTTTTCAGGGGTTCCCGATTGAAATTCAAGCTCCTTTCCAGTGAAGGGAGCAGAGAAGAACCGATCAGCCCGCTCGTCGATCTCGCGTCTAGTGCAGTTTCCAGCGGCATCACAAAAAGACTGACCCCAACCCTCCCCTCCCCCCCGCAACCCCCCAAACTCTCCCTCAACACCTCCCAACAACTCAACCCCACCCCCCCAACTCCCCCCGCAACCCCCCCCCCCCACCCACCTCCCAACACCCCCCTAACCCCCTCAACACTCCTCCCCCAACTCCCCCTCAACCCTGCTCCAACCCCCCAACCTCCCCCCCCCAACCCCCCAACTACCCCCCCCCTCAGGGCTTTGGAACCAAACCAATGAGACGCTCCACTTCTCGCCAGGCCGTGCGCCCTGGCGGCCGCAGAGGCGCTGAAGGGCAAGGAGGAGGGCGCGGAGGGCGTGGAGCTGGGGAAGCCTCCGGCTGAGATTTTTGCGGGGGACGGGTCTGGATGGGGTGGGAGGGATGGCAGGGGCCGCCTCCGGTGTTTTTTTTTTTCCTCCGGGGGGTGCTTTTTTCTTTGTTTTGGGGTGGCTCGGGTTCCAGGGCGCTCTTCGGTTTTTTTTTGGGGGTTGCCACGTTTTTGGGGCTTGGGGGTGTGGGCCTGCTGGATCGGGAGGGGCCGTTTTGGCCGCCATCTCGACACGGGCTCGTAACGTCTGACGCCCCCAAGCTTGACGGACATCGACGACCACCACTTCTTTGTCGCAGTTTGCCAAGGGATGTTAGGACTCCAACTTTTTGCCGACGCATTTGGGTGTTCCGTATTAAACCGCGAAAAGTTAGACTGTCAGCAGGGGAGCAGAAAGCCACCGAGGCTTCAATGCGGGAGGGTGGGGTTGCCATGAGATGATGAGATGGGGAAGGGGCGGGAGCTCAAGGCCTCCCCCATGTTCCGAGTCCTCCCTTAAGGAGACCATGCCCTGCCAAGGCTTGCAGCACTCTGCGAGGATGCGCTGAGGCTGGCCGTTTTTGAAGGAGCGAGAAAGAGAGAGAGGGAGAGAGAGAGAGAAAGAGAGCTGAGAAGCTGGGTGGAAAAGGACATGGGCTGATGCCAGGTTAATCAATGAGCAGGTTCTTCCCTTTGCTCACAACACCTCACTGACAAGGGGAGCAATGGATGAAGGCAGGTTGGTTCAAGTTTGAACACTGCCGCTATGCCACTCAAACACATGCCCAAGAAGCACACTATTTTGTCGCATTTTGGAGGCTTGTTTCAGACGAATCAATCCATGCAAGATGGTTTCCACCACCAAACCACAACCATTCCGGGTTTGATTGGTATTTTCAACCGCCAGAAGCCACCACATAAAGTCCTGGTAGTGGTTTCAGGGTGGCGTCGTTGCGGTTCCATCCACTCGTGCCCTAGTTGAAAGAGAATGCGCATCACTTTGTAGGGGAACACCCCATATTGTGAACCTTGGGTCAGATTGAATTTCAATGGTTTCTCCATGTTTGCTTCTAGCCATCTATCAGTGAAATCCATGTTTCATTGACCTCTTAGACAATTCCTCATTCACCCGCCTATTTGGGGTATGGTCCTTTCCGGGGTCGATTCTGTTCAGTTTCGGCGCATGTTTTTGACCTTTGAGATCCACTCAACGCAGGACGATGATTCAGTGTGTGTGTGTGTGTGTGTGTGTGTGTTTTTTTTTTGGGGGGGGTCCCTGTTTTGGTGGTGTTGCCGGGAAAACACAAGGAAGTGGGTCCCCTTGAAAAAAGACACACCCACATGATGCGTTGTTCATTTCAATTCAACTCATTTAGCTTTGTTTGTTGTGAGTTTTATTTGCTGGGTGGCCATGTGTCCCAATTAAGCCAAAGGACTTCCCACATCAAAAAGCAAGCAACGGGGCATTTGCCACCCCCTTTGTGAAGTTGGGGCAGGGAATGCTTCCCAGAAGCCATAGGGTACGTGGCAAAGGGTGAACCCCTTTGTTGGTCTTCCTGGAAGCCAACCCCAAAAAAGGCATGCCCCAAAAACGAAGAACCAAGTGTTGATTTTTGGCTGTCCCCTCCCAAAAACGCAAACCCATACCTTCCTTGCGTCAGCAGGGAATGAGCCCCCAGAGAAACCATCCAACTGGTTCCTTTTTTCGGGGACCAAAGTAACTGGGTTCATTTCCTCATTCATCTCATCCTCTGTTTTGGGGATCCCTAACCCGGAAGCATCTATATATATATATATGTGGCTATGAATTTTAATGGGGAACCCCCTAAAAAGTGATTGGTGGACATACATCCCCACCTAAATGATGTCCACCAAAGGGTCCCTAATTACAATTCATACCCTTGTAGAAATATATGTATGTATATAACCGGGTTCATTCGACCAACACCCGACCTCCGGAGCGAGCCGCTCGCTGGCTCGCGCATGCGCCAGGCTCGGCCAGGCCTTGCGGTCCTCCACCGCGTGCGCGTGCAAAGTGCTGAGCGCGGCCCGGGAGCTCGAAACGGATTGAAAAGGCCAAAGTAAATAAATGAATGAATAAATAGCTAACTAACTAACTAGCTACATAAATAAATAAACAAATACATAGATTAATATATACACACATTATACGCATACATACACATATGTTTGTCAATATTTCGGTTTCCAGAGTCATGGTATAGTGTTTCTTGAACGGCTTAACCGCTAAGGGTATGGGACTCTCACTTTGGAATCTCAGAACTATTTTCCACAATCATGCAGGACACATGTGCTATAACAAGCTAAATCATTAGACACATGATCCTATAATCATGTACCATAAGCCACCTCAAAAGAAGTCGGTAGACTTTTTCGTCCCCACCAAAGTCTGATGTCCACCAAGGGTCCTGAACCCAATAAAACTCATACACATATCTGTGCACCAAGGGTTCCCCATTAAAACTCATACAAAGATATATCTACCTATATATATATATGTAGATGTGTAGATATGTAGATATGTGGATAGATCGATAGATATATATATATATATATACATACACATACACATGAATAAGTACATAGATATATTGGTATATTTGTATATACACATACATTGTATATACACAGTATATATATATATATATATTACAGCATCCAAGTAGGCCGAACCAACCCCCTCGTTGAGTTTTTGTAAGGTCGCCCACATGCCCGGCGCCGGGCCTCCATCCGAGTACGTGGTGCAGGCCCGGGTTTCTGGGGGCCGGGGGGAAGGGGGCGGTTGGGGGGTACGTGCGGTTTTTTGAGAGCTTCTTGTGGGCTGTTTGAGCGGCTTTTGGGTTGTTTGAACCCATCTTTGGGTTGTTTGAGCAGCTTTTGGTGCTGTTTGAAGAGATCTTCGGGTTTGATTTCTGGAGTTTTCTGCTTGTTCACAAGCCAGGTGCTTGCCAGGTAAGCCAGGCCGTGTTGATCCGTCAACAATCCATGTGACTGGGGCTGTCCATGGGCGGAGTCAGGACCTGGACAGCATCGTGCTGCTCTTCCAGCGCGCCTTCATCGGGCAGCGGGCCAACGCTGCCAAGCAGCTGCATCAGCTGCGTGCGGGCCAGAGAGAGAGAGAGAGAGAGAGAGAGAGAGAGAGAGAGAGAGAGAGAGAGAACGAGTGGAGAGTAGAGACTGGAGAGTGGAGAGTGGAGAGTGGATTGCGATGCGGATGCGGATGCGGATGTGGATGTGGGATGCGGATGTGGATGTGGATGTGGGATGCGGATGTGGATGTGGATGTGGTTAATAAGCAACCCACCCTGGCGCAAATATATGTGTGTTTTTTGAGGCTTCCCTTTGCACATTTGGTTTTTGGGTTGAAACCAAATGGACAATCACAACTTTCAATGGCGATAGAATCCAAATTTCTATGAAGTTGCAATAGTGAACTACCTCCCAAATGCATGACATCCCCCCCCAAATGTTTACCTGACCGGTCTATCTGAAATTCCAGATGAGCCATCGCCCCTTGGCTTCCTTCCGGGGACATTGTTTGCTCTTGTGTTTCAATACATTTGTAGGACATTGTGAATGGAACCAATGACCCACACATTCGGAACCCGGCCATGGCGGTTTTGAGCCCCTGCACTTGGGACCCTGGCAAAGATTCCTAGTTCCAAGTAGGGGAATGACCATCAGCCACGGATTCGGTTTTGACCATAGCAAGCATGAACACCCCAACCTGGCCGGTGGGACGTGAATCCCGATGTAAATGATGTCCGCCAAATGGGTTTTCAAGTAAGACTCATACCCAACTGAGCCCAGGGCAAAACCTCGGAAGACGCAGGTTAGGGACAGTGGCAACCAGAAATGAGGTGCAAGACGCCTTGTTGACTAACACGAGTTCAAGGAAAGGCCGCCTTTGAATGGGGGTGAAAGGGCAGCCAAAGGGAAACCAGATTTTGGAGGACCCCCAAGTTTGCTTCCGGGTTGTCAGGAAACGCAAGGAGAGAGGCCCAAATTTGAGGTGTGTTCGAAATCCCCGCTAGTACGGAATTATGCAATCTTATGCAAGGCGGCATTCACCGTCCTTTGTGGTTTTTCTTAGTACCTTCATCGGTTCTTGCAGACAGATGGGACCAGGAAACTGCCTAAAGACAAACGCGTTTCCGGGCACACGGCCGCGCTAAATTTGGAGGTCAGACTGTTGCCTCGCTTCGGGTTTACGGTGAACCGGTTTCCCGAGGCGAGCTTGAAGCAGAGACTGGCCTGCCGCCAGTGCAGGAGGGGCTTGGGATTTGGGGGTTGAGCCAAAGGTCCATCTACATGGGATGAGTCGGGAAAACCGCCAGGAAGATGATTTGCTCCACTGAATGAAGGAAGCTGCCCATGGTAATTTTGGGGGCCAGGAAGGTTGGTCAACCCCCATTTGCGTGACAGCAACAGTCGGTATTTGCTGTCATCTACGGTAGGGAATGACATGGGCACTCACCCAATTCCCGTGTCGGTTGGGGCCACAATGAGCATTGACCGTGGCTTGTGTCAGAGAGAGCTTTTGCTTTGAAGCGAAAACGAAAGGGAGAGCCTAGGCCAGGCTAGTAAATCTACCGCAAGAAATGTGCCTGCAAGCATCTTGCAAGCAGGATGGATGTCAACAAGAGGAAAGCGCAACAGCGGCATGGTGTGGCTTCACAGCACATCAAGAGGTCTTGCTGTCCATCGAACCATGGCACCGAGTCTTGCATTTGAAGGCCCGCCAATTCATAGGGCAAAAGACTTACGCTTTGGCTCCCCAAAGGGGGATATGTGTCCAAACAGCGGATGTGGTTTTCCGTTTGGCTGCTCTGAAAAAAAACCAGCCCTAAAACAGCGTACCCTTAAAAAAGACGGCCATGTCGGATATTGGATGGTCTAAGATGTGTTCATCTTCGGCATTTGTCAAACATCAAACAACCCTTCCAACTTGTTTGCTTGTGTCCAATAGGGGCGTTTTCCGACCAACACCCGGCCCCTTCAAGCGGTTCATCCCGTTTTCGCCTGGCTCGGATCTGCATAGCGGTTGTGGAAACAGGGGCTTCGTGGACGAGGATGAATCTTGTTTGCTCACTTTGTACCCACTTGCATTGGGTCTTTGGAAAACTACTATTGCATGTTGGCGTTTTGGATTTCCAACATTTCGGTCATGAAGCTGATGCCCACCAATTCCAAAGCCAGCATTTGAGGACCACGCACTCTCTCACTCGCCTCTCACGGTTTGACCCTTCCAATGGCCGTGGACGTTTTTGGGAGCAGTCTTCCAGCCGGCTTTTCACTCCCGTTTGACCCGTCTTTCCCGCGGAAGGGGCTTCCTCGGATCTTTCCACTTCCGTTTGACCCCGTCTTTCCAATGGAGTTTCCTCGGGTGGACGGCGATCGGCACCAGGAGCATTTGGCCCTGCTGGGGGGTCAGGCCAAAGGCCTGCTGCTGGGCATGCTACTGGTGCCGGAGGCAGCCCCCGTCACCGACTCGGGTTGGATTCGGACAGGTGCCCTCCTGTCCATTAACATTGACAGAAGGTCCCTTTGAAAGGAGAATGGTCTTCCAGGACCCTTTTGTCAGGTTCCATGTTGCAGGGATGCAGGCCATGGTAAATGTTCACTTGGGGTCAACCCCTTGGGGTCGTGGACTTGTTGGCCTTTGTTTGCCAGGGTAAACTGGCAAACCAGCCATTTAGGAGGTGCATACCCCTCCATGGAAAGCCAAACAGACCATGGCAAGGAACTTTTAGGACTTTTGTCCATGGCACGTGTGAGCTTATAGTTTGGTTTATGTCAACATATCCTGTGCCTATGGTCCATTTGTGAGGGACGTGGGGACGGGGCACTCCAGCAGTTGTCCCGCAGAAAGGATGGGGGCTCGCTCATTTTGCCATGTCCATTGTGGGCACTTGACAATTTACGCCCTAGTCTATTGATTAAAGATGCAACGCCATGAGCATTGCTTGTATGCCACCGTATATTATATGTCTGCTTATGTTAGAATGGAGTTGTATACTACAATAGGTAATTTTAGCGTAATACAAGCTCACTTTCCTCACATAATCCAATTCATGCCCATGTTTTTGGCGGCATTTCGTTTGCACTCACGTGCAAAACATGAGGCATGTGGGCACCTAAGGGACGTGCCTGCTTGGCAATCGACGGCTTCAACCGGGACATTTGATGGGAGCCAAGCTGAATCCCAACTGAGAAGCAGAAATGTGTGCTTCCATTTGGTGAAGAGTATTTGTTGTTTTCCCCTGTTGGTTTTTTAGAGGGAATCTATCACTACTGGACATATTTGTATTTTTTCCAGGCGGCGAAGACACAAATGGAACTGCGGGACCAGCGCCTGGGCCCCGCTGGCAGACTTCTCCGGTTGCCAGGATAAACCTCCTTGCACCGTCGCCAGATGCCCAGCTGCCGCTTCAATTGGTGTGGCTGAAAATGGAGTTGGTGCCAAAAAGAACAAAACACCCGTTTCGGGGGCTGCCCCGCTTGGAGAGGTGAGGCAACCATAAAGGAGCACAAGACCAGAAACTGGCCGTCCGAAGGTGGTAGCTTGAGCAACCTGTTCTCTGCTCAAGTTTATGGAGTGCTCCTTACATGGCGGCTGGGCAATTCTCGAGCCCTGCAAAGCAAAGGCTGGAACTCTCTCCAGATTTTCCAGCCCATTTGGACCTCCCCAAAGAAGCAGCGTGCAGGCAGTTTCCCGTTTAGATCTTGCGCGTTTCCGTTTTAGCTCCGGCCAAGTCGACTCGTCCTTGAATCATGCTTCAACAAGGGCCCAACCCAGACTCAGACCCAACATCCAAGAGGGTTCTACCAACCCATCCTCCAGGCAACATGGGATATCTAGTGGCTGTGCAACCTCAAAATCCCTTGTGGTTTGGTAGTGGCCCACCACTACAGAATATATATATATAAATGTAAAAACACATATATATATATATTATACATATCGCGTCTAGTATTTACCTTGCGGGATAGGTTGTGCATTGGACACCCTCTTGGACCAGAGCGAGATGCGTCCGCATTCCCAGGTCTTAGCGCGTGAAGGTGGGCTGGCCGACGTCGCGGGCCAACTGCCGGAGTCGCCGGGGCCCCCAGGAGCGAGCTGGCGAGCTGGGAGCTGAGAGCTGAGCAGGGAGCGAGCTGCTGAGCTGCCAAGGCTTCTCTTTAGTGGAAGGTAAATGGGAAACCCCTCCTGAATTCACCGAAACACCCATCAAAACCACTAAAATTAGAGGGAAGCTGACAGGAGGGTATTATGACTTGCCTAAGCTTTGGCGCATTTTGCCAAGGGATGTTAGGACCTTCAACTTGTTGCCGACGAATGGGTTTTCCATTGAACCACTTAAAGTAGTCTTAAAGTGAAACTTTTAGCACGGGAGCAGAAAACAACCGAGTTTTTGTTTGGGGACATGGGGGTTGATCAGCTTATTTCCTTTTAAAAGGCCCCCCCAGTTTTTGTGACCATGGGTCACTTTCCCCATTTAGTGGTGGACAATTGTAGTCTTTCTGATGGTTCTCCAACCAATATTCCGTTTAGAAGGCCCGCAGAATTGAGCATGGGGGACTTTTCATAAATGTTAGTCGGATTTATCATGATTTCAGTGGTTTTCCAGCGAATCACCCCCATGTCAAGAACCTTTTGATCAACCCCCACATGGTGGTGAAGGTCCCTTCCGGTGAGGATTCCTGAAAAGCTGGGTTCCAGTTGAGCAATCGACATGAAGTTTGCCTCTGAGAACAGTCATTTGAATTTGTCTGCCAGTCGGCAGCGGCCCGATTCCGACTGGACGTGTTCTGATCAGACATCTTGGGATAGCACCTGGCACAGCCCAGCCATCCAAGCCTCAGGTGGTGCACTTCTCTTTGTTTGAGGGGTTTGCCTCAATCAGCTACCCAAAAAAAGAGGTACCAAATCTTGGATCATCTACTCAACAGGGCGTTCCAATGGCTCCCAACCTGCGCAGACTAGCGGGCGGATGTGAAGCGGCGCTTGAGTGATCAAAACACCGCTTTTTGGGATTGCCATTGATGGACAAGCTCCTGGACAGGACGAAAGCCACCAACTGGTCAAACCGGATTTCCAAAATGGCCACATAGTGACCCGCCTGGGCTTTCACCTTCCGCCCTGTTGAATCTGCACATGGCTTTGGGTTTTGCCTGCAGTACTGCCAGGTTTTGATTCTGATTCATGTGTTCGAAAGGGAAACAAACAAGGGTTCCCCTCTCCGGCCACACGTTTTGAGCCGCGACTGCCTTACTCCCTGGGCGCTGAGGCACACCAGCATCCTTCTCCCATATTTCGAGGAGCCTCAGAAACTTGAGTCGTTGCACGTCGTCTTTGTTCCATCTCCCACCAGCACGGAGGTCTCCAGGCCAAAAGGGGAAGAAAAAAAACACTTCCAGGTTTGTCGGTGACAGCTTGTTTCCTTCCTCCTTTTGCTCAAAGGGCGGTGATGGACACATCACTTGTTGAGCAGTCGTTGTTGACGAGTTTCTCTATGGGGACCACACGCCTCTGACTGTTCAGCGCCCAGTGCAGCCTTCAGGCTGCACCGGATATGACTCGAACATCCGAAGAACTGATGCGGTGCTCGCTGAAAGGATCCTCACACAAATCTCGAAGTGGGTGTGGCAGGAATCTTATATGTGCTTGACATGGGGTTCGACCCTCTCAGCGGAGACCTCCCTAATTTTCGGCGACACGCCTTGTCACCTAAACTTGGTGGCTCCCAGCCCATCCCCTGAGCTTGTTTCAGCTTTTTAGGGTTCAGTGGTTGGATTTCCATTTCACCCACAAGTTATTCACTTTTCGCAGGGGATCAGAAAACGGGCAGTTGGAAAGGGACCCCTTCGTCTTGCTGGTGCGATAGGCAGGGAACGAGAAATGGAATGAACCCTATAAACCATCCCCTATGGTGTCCTTTCTTCAGGAATCCCTAGGTTCATTCCCTTCCTACCTACTTACCTATTCCCTACTATCGCATTAACCTATCCCTGTTAGCCATTCCCTATTGCCTTTCCCTATTAACCATTCCCTACCTATCGCACTCATGGCAAGTCATTCCGCTTCCCGCCCTGGATCCCGGGTGCCCCTCCACCGGTTCCTCCGAGCCGAACGCGTCGAACGTCGAACGGCGAATCGGAGGATGCCACCGGCACCAAGACGGTGCAGGGCCGGCGCGTGGAGGGCGGCGAGGGCCACGGGCTCCGGAAGGCAGGGGGGCCAGGGCTGACCTGACGCGGGTGGAGACGTGACGGGTGTCACGGAGCCCTTGTTGGAGACCAAAAAAGCGGAGCCATAAGGGGGGGGGGGATTGGGGGGAGGGTGGGTGTGGGTGGGTGGGTGGGTGGGTGGGCGGGCGGGCGGGCGGGCGGGCTGCCTGACACAATACTTAATTTGACTGCATAGACAATTGCATCCATAGGGAACTCAAAAAGGGAGGCGCCCAAATGAGGATTCCTCTACACATGGATGGTTTGTGTGGGTTCCATGTTGGTCTGCAGGTGAGTAGTTGCTCCTACATGGGGTTGTCTCCAAATTTGGCAGTAGACCCTCCAGAATGGATATCCTTCCATTCCCCTAAAACTAGGCCACAAGGATCCCCGCAACGACATGTGTGGCATCCCAAGGAAGGCGGGCAACACATCAGGCGAGTTGCCGTGGCCAACAAATCGGACTTGGAAAATGGGATATTCTGGATTCGGTGGGAGCAACGATGGCGGGGTGAAAATCTGACAATCCCTGACGGGAACTGAAGCCCCTTACCGTTTTCAGGATTGGGGGAAACCAAAGGGAACCCCACCTTTGGCGGGTTCACCTGTTTTGAACATCCAGACACATCCAAACAAAGCCAGTCCTTTGACACCGGCAGCTCCGACGATCGATTCAAACCGGGCGTGGATACTGTCGATCAGGAGTTTTTCACTGCCATGTCTGCAGACGCCCAACGGCCACTTGCCCAGTTGCAGTGGGAAAGAAGCGTTTGGCAGATTTGCTTGCTGGTGCGATAGGTAGGGAATGACCTTCCGGGTGCTGGGAATGGCTTTGGTCCCCTTAAAGGAAACCACCAGTTGGGTGGTTTATCTCGTCATTCCATTTCTGAGGGTTTTTGCCGGGTGGACCACGCCATCCTCAGCCTTGTGATTTGACCGAATTGCTTTTGGTATCTTTGGTTGGTCTTGGGATTCGGATGGATCTTGGTGGGAATTCTTGTTTCTTGTGACTTTCCCGTGTGCGGGTTTGTGTGATGGTCGGCCTTCACTTGCGAGACGTGAGACTTGCGCTGTGCAAGTCTCGTGCTCAGTTTTCGCCTGCGCAAGGCATTGGTAAAAGGGGGGGGAGGGGTCCTTTGGTTTGCTTTGGTCTCATATCGGTGTGTCTCAAGAACGGTGTGCTTCCAACCAAAATTGGGAGGTCTGTTCAAAGCAGGAGCCGCAATTTGATAAGAAGAGCTGGCATCTGCACCAATTCCACAGGCCCCCCGGGTCGAAGGGGCCGAAGGGGCGGACCGTGGCCCCAATTCCACAGGTGTTCTTTTGAAGCTTTTTATTGGACTATTAGTTTCACCACTACGAGTTGTCGCCCCCTCGCCCCTTACAACCAACAGCCATTTTGGTTCCTTGTTTCAGGTGGCCAGGGTCTGGTTCTGTCGCTTGCGCGACCCCATACCCTCGCGCGTCGCGAGCGAAATCTCGTGAGTTCCAAGGCGCTGGGGCAGGCTGTCGGTCGCCTCGGATGCATTTCTCGCACCAGGCGGGGTCTCAGACTCAACCGGAGGTGGATGATGGGGGGGACAGAAAGTTACCTCCATCAGTGTTTCAGAATATGTTTCTTTTCTTTTGCTCCTGTTGCTTTTTTTGCAGGGAATTTGTCACTGGACATATGTTCTCACGTTATTCTTTTTGGGGCACTATCTATGACAGCCTGTTTGGAATCTTGTGATTTCCTGTAACCGTCCCGGTTGAACAAGTCTACACTGCAGAATTCTTTGCTTGCCTCCGCAAGCCGTTGTCTTTGCACTTGCTTTGGGCTCCACTTTGATTTGTTGGAAGACACGTCTGCGTCTTTCTGATCCACCGCGTCAGCCTTCAACCGCTGGCGTTTCGGCGGCTTCCGAGGCCTGGTGGTTTGCACGGGGAACCGCATCAAGCTGCAGGCCCTCGAGGCGTGGGCCGATCGAGCGATGAGGTCCCAGGTGTTTGACCGGCAGGGAAGTCTGCACTGGGCTTCTGGAAGCCCTTCTGTTCTCACAGTGGTTGTGAGACTCATGTTGGTTCGGCGGATTTTGTGAGTTGTTGTTGAAACTCAGGTTGGTTCTGCGGATTTTGTTCGTCAGTCTGCTACAGAGAAAAGTGGGGCGGGTTTGGGGCAAGGGGGAAGAGCAGATGTGCTTCCTTCTTGCTGTCGATGTTGACAGAGGCTTGATGTTGTTGGCCGGCTTTTCTTCAACTCTTTCTTTTGCAAAGAACGATGAGTTTTCCGCGTTGATGCTGTTTTCAGCTCGAGACAGGCGCACCACACAAGCACACCAGGTGGTCCAATTGCCACAGACCCATCCCGAAAACGTTGCTTGAAGCACATACTGTGGACGGTCAAAATCCTGCAGCATCTACTAGCTGGGATGCGTGAATCCCTATCAACGATGGGACACGGATCAACTGCAGGATTTGTCCGCCCACATCACAAATCTTTAGAAGACTTCCGTCGAACGGTGGACTCTTCGTAAAGGTGTTTGCCTGCTCTCACGGGCCTTTGGCGAACTGCAGAAGGATTGTGGTGGCTTAGTCCGGAATTGTCAAGGAGAAGGAGCCAGCAAGGACCTCTTTATTTTGTTCCCTCTCTTTTTTTTTGTTTTCTCTCTCTCTCTCTCTCGCTCTCTCTTTCACTGTTTCTCTCTCTCTCTCTGGATTGTTCAAAATCCATCCGCAAGAGTCTTATCCCGTGTTTGGTTCCCTTGTTTGTCACGGATGAGGAGCAGTCTTGCGAGGCTCCAGTGTCGGAGCTGCATCAGCTGCTGATGGCGGCCAGCAACGGGGACCGGTTGAAGCGCGGAGACTCAGAGGAAGCGCCCCTTTTGGCCCCTACTTGGATGTTCGGCTGGGTTGCTAAGTACTTGCCAAGTCGGGCAACTTAGCAACACAAGCGACCATCCAAGCACTGTAAGTTTGTTCGGGCGGAGGTTTTTCCTTGGTTCAGCTTTTCAACCCATTTAGTTTCCCTTTGGCGACCTGAGGAAGTGTGGTTTGCACATGTTTGTAGGGTCTCATGGTTGGGATGTTGGGGTGTCAAGAATCTCACTGCCCGCCACCCGGCTTTGTCCCAAATGTGAAGACCCTAAAATGATTGACATCCTTTTGGTTTCCCCGCTTAAACCGCAACACAAAAAAACTCCCGAAACAAAAGGACACACACGCACACATCTCCAGTGCCAAGTGTTTCGGTGTGGTGCCCATATTTTTCTGGGGCGAGGTGTCGGGATTGGCCAAATCCTGCATTTCGGTTGATGACAGTATTTGTTTGTTGGGTTCCCTTGTGGGTCCTCCTATTGTGAGGAATGCTCTATTGTGAGTTTCACCTATTGTGAAATTCCCCTTGACTATGTAGCTGCAAACCAGGATGTCCTTCCCTTTGAGAATGCAGAGGTGCAGCTATGACTCAAGACATCGGACCTTTGTTGCTTGCCATGCACCTGTCTGAGGCTGATATTCGGTACCGGACAAGAGTGTGAACGCATTGCCTGGCTCCCAGCTTGGACGTTCAGCCTGAGCCTTGGACGAAGCAGTACTTGGTCGCCAATTTGGACTGAGCTCCCTTTTGGTGGGCTGATGCTGAAAGTGAATTACATACAAATACTATGTGTATATATATATACACATACGGTGTATGTATACATATATATATATATGTTCTATCTGTATATACGGCATATGGTGCTCCATGGATTTCTGGGTTAAACGACCGACCCCCTGGGCCACCTCTGCAACAGAGACTGGTCACGTTCTGGAGGTCACCGGCAGCATGCCCATGCCGGGTGGGGGCTCTTCTGTCACCGTGGACAAAGCCTTCGAGGTTCGAATCGATCGATCGATGTCGCCCGGCCTCAATTCAATTCCGGAAACGGAGGGAGAACCCCCCCACCCGCAGCTTTGTAGGGTTTAGGTTTCCAATGCAAATCCACTAAAAGTGAAACTTTTAGCAGGGGATTTGAGGGGCCCAGCATTTCTGTACAACCCATGGGATTGCGGCTCATTGGAGAGTGTGTTTTTCGGGACTGGGGCCTCGGGGGTGGCTTAAAGAAGAACAAAATGAAAGACACATGTCCTTTTTTCTTTCGCGCTGCTTTTTTTGTTGTACTTTGGTATACCAAAATGTCCTTTTTTCTATGTGTTTTAGGGGTGCATACCCTTTTGGCAGTCCAAATGTTTGAAAAGGCGCATGGAAGTTCCCAGCCGGGAAACAGCAGGCACTGGACAAGGTGGCATCGAGACAGAGGTGAATTTTGCCAAGGGATGTGAGGACTTTGGCTTTTTGCCAGCTAATTGTTAGGACTTGGATTGGACTTGGAATTGGATTGGACTAGCTTTTTGTTAGGACTTGGATTTTTTCGTTAAACCACTGGAAGTTAGTCACTTTTAGCAGGGGAGCGGAAAGCAACCAAGACAAGAAACTGGTCATAACTCGGGCTGTTCGACACTTTGGCGTCCTAAAGTCGCAGCTTGCCGGCAGGGCGCTGGAGGTTTCCGGGCTTGGGCCGGGCCTATGTCGCTGGGTCCATTTTGGAGGTGGGCCCCAAAGAATTCGGGACATGGATTCTGCCTGGCTCTCATTTAAAAATTTGAAGAGTGAAGAAACAAATTTGGGGTGTCCAAAGGTTTCTGGTGCTGCGTGAAGGCGCATCCGGGTCCCCTTTGTGGATTCGCCATTCCTCAGGTGTTGGTGCCTGTAGTTGCCTCCCAGTGCTTTTCCCTTTTGGTTGCTCCTTGAAGGTATTATTGGTGTTATCCTTTTGAAGGAGTTCTCCTCTCCCATTTTGTTTTGGGATTTTCTACTTCAAACACACCAACAAGTCAGGTGTCCCGCGTTGAGTTGCTCACAGGGCAGCTGGGCTAAAGTTGTCCCCAGATTCATAAACCATAGGGTGGCGGGCGGGGGGTGGCCTTCCCAAAAGTGATGAATTTCCAAAAGGGACCACCCCTAAGAATCCACTAGGGGTTTGAATATTATTTTGGGGGTTCCCATCAGACATGATCCCCATCTAATTGGCTGCTTGTTTGGCAGGAGAACTGGGCGGAGTTGACTCTGCAGAGGCAAGGTCCTGCCTCGAGTGGGAACTCAAACAAGCTTCCATTTGTTTAAGTTGTTTTTTCCCTGTTGGTTTTAAAAGGAATCCATCACACTGGAAATATTTTTGTTTTTCCAGGGGGCTCAAGCAAATGGAAGAAGGCGACCGCACAAATGGCTCGTTTCAATCCAACCATCCCAAAGGCCAAGGGGGGCGGGGGGGGGGGGGCCGGGGGCACAGTCTTGAGACCTTTCCCCCCCCCCAGGGAGTCCCAAGTCCACAAAAAGAGGATTCCTGTTAGAATGGATTTGTCAAAGGGTTCTGTGTTGCTAAGTTCCTGAAATGGATGTGCTTTTGGTTTCCCTCACCCAGCCAAAAGGGGATTCCCCAAGAACGCATCATTAGGAACAAACGGGGTTTGACTCCTGTGCGTCCTGGAAAAGAACAGACGGAACTCAAACAGTTGAACACTAAGCTGAACACTAGGATCCATACCCTTCCTCCAGCTAACATGGCACCTGTGGGGAGGTACCTGGAAGATTCAATTCCTGTTGAAGGGACCCCCTGTCAGTTGCCAGGTTAGTGGGAGGGAGGGTAGCTGGCGCAATACAAGCGCAGGGGCAAACGACAATGCTGGACGCATGGATTGAATCGAAGATCTTTCAACCTGTGCATTCAAACGAATCGCGCGCCAAAGAAGACACAGCCGCTTCCTTCTTATGGCTGCTATCCGTCCATATGAACCCATGGCCTTCTTTGGTAGGTTCCTATGATTCCTATGGCTGTGAATTTATTGGGGAATTTTGAAAAGCCTCCCAAACATTTTGTGGGCACATGTAACTCAATCTTTACATACCCACACTGTGGATGGACAAAATCCTGGGCCAGTTGGGATGGATGAAGCCCTATGAATCCTGGTTCACAAACCACCAATCCCAACTGGTGCCTGGCCCTCCATTTTCATGCATGGGTATGTGTCCAAATAGGGTGCCCCCCTCCACCCCCCCCCCTCCACCCCCCCCCCGTAAGAGAGGAATAGTATGTATCTGCCAGCGATGGCTGCTGGATGTGCTCCATGTCCTGACTTCCTTTGTTTAAACTATTCACTTCTTATCAACACAATCAATCAGGAAATCAGGTACCCTTTTGCAAGAACAAGTTTAGCGCGACAAGCGCAATTGACTTTGCTGCGGCAGATCGAAAATAGCAGGCGAGGACTTGGCGGTCGCATGATACGTAGTATTCCCTGCCACCTCCCCCCCCGCCCCGGAAAAAAAAGGAGAAAAGAAACGAAAACCACACAAACAAATCAAACAAACAAATAGGATAACATCCTGGTTTCCCTGGAAACTAATATGAAACTGGTACCCTGGTACTCAAAAATTCACCCCTAAAACATTCTGAGGCTTTGATTCAGCGGCAGGTGCGAGGTTCAGAAGCCGGCGCTGCCGCTCTTCGAGTTTCACCGTGGCACAGGCGCGCGCCCGCGCGCACGCGCGCCACGCGCGTGTGGCGCGCGTGGCGGCGGTTTTGGCTCGGGGTGGGGGGACCTGGCAGTCCCCAAATGGCTGTGGCTTGATATGAGATGTATCCAAATGGCTCCTGGGTACAGCCTGCGCATATAAGCCCGGCTCTTGAAGTTTGAGCCACAATTGGTATGTCTTTTGGGAGTTTCTTTTGCTGTTTTTTTTTCCGGTAAGCCAATCCAACCCTTTTGGGGCGGGGTCCTCTTATTTTGAGACACCCCGAATGGGGGGTTGTTTCGGAATTGGAAACCTCTTCAAGTTGTCATTTGGACATTTGGAGACGCAGCGCGCTCCTCAAACTTGCCATGCAAACACATCTTGGAATCAAGCCCCTTAGTTTGCCTCATGTCGATAAATCTAGGGGCTGATTCCCCATTCTGTTCAACCATCGTTGTTTCAAAAACTTTTTCTGGGTTTCCGGAGGTTTTCTAGAAAGAATAATCCCTGGAAAGAATGGGGAAGGTAGCCTTAGAGTAAAACCAACTCAAGAGTTCTTCTAGTCTGGCAACAATTGCCTACCTTTTGGCCCACGAGTCAGACATTTGGCATCGCTCCCCAGCGGACAAGAAGATTTCATTCAGCACAAACCTTTCGAGTTGGTGTGGGGCATCAGAAAGTTGGAAGGGACGTCTCTTCCCATTGGTGCTACTGCTCACCAAAGGGACGAAGATCGTTGTGTGATGCTTTTTGAAGGTACCCTTTTCAGCTTGGTTGAAAGGGATCAAAGTAAATCATGCACCAGTAAATCGCTTAGCTTGAGCCAAACTGTACTCTCCTGCAGACCGACACTAACTTCTTTTTCTTCTTCGAGGCATCTCCGTTGAGGGAGCCCTTTGTTTGGGTCCCTTCTGCATCATTTGCAGGTTCGAAGCAAACCCAAACTTGCCCTTAGGACAAACTCTGAGTTCGCCCTGTCGGTTCCAAAGGGAATCGTCAAAGGGTCGCGGAGCAGCAGTAGCCAGCAGTTTCTATTGGACAGTTTGCTTTTAATCTTAGCTTCGGCCTCCGGACAAGACCAATTTGTCAGGCCGCACATTTTTGTATTTTCCCGAGACATGAAACGTCGTATTTGTTCTTCTTTTTTTCTCCGCAGGCCAGCAGTGGTTCTCATCCCACGGGAACTCCCTGCACGACGACCTTCGGGGTGAGAGCCTCGCAGGCGCGCGAAGGGAGCCGGGGATGGCACGGATGGCACCACCGGAGTGGGTGTAGCTCGTGTTTTTTTTGAGGGCACTCGTTTTTGGGGTGTGTTTCCTAAGATGGCTTTGCATCTTACTTTTTGTTCAACGTTATGTTTCCTCAAATGGCTGCGCCATTTATTTGCGGGCCCTTTGCTGGACGTTATTTTGCACGGGGATCTTGAGTTCTAGTTCGGGGCCCTTTGCTGGACATCATTCAACATGGGGATTTGAGTTTTATTTGCTGGATTTACATGGGGATTTTGAGTTTTAATTTAAATATCCCATTGCCGGACATTTTCTAAGCACGTGGGGATTTTGAATGTTAACATCACTTTGTTGGGATTTGATTTTTTAAAGGGGGCCCTTTGTGACATCATTCAACATGGGTTTTGTAGTCAATTGTAGGCCCTTTGCTGCACATATTTTTATAGGATCTTTGTTTGAATTTGAGGAGGGGCCTTTGCTCGACATCATTTTACCACAGGGATTTGTGCTCACCAACCAGTCTTGCGGGTTCAATAACAAGTTGCTGAAACTCAGCGCCAAACAATTTGGGGGCCCCAATAACAACCAACGGCTTTCTTTTGGTTTCCCTGTAAAAGCCATCCAAAAGGTGTCCAACTTATTTTTTTGCAGTTCCTTCCAGTTTCCCATGCCGGGACCATTGACCCCAAGAAGGTTTGAATCTTTTGACCGGTTTTCTGGGCGGGGAACGGGGCTGGGAATTCTTTGGGACCCAGCAGGGTTTGAACACCGGGGGCTTGATTTGGTCCAAAAGGTCCATAGCTCTTCTGCAAGAGCTTGCCCCCTTTCGCCACAACCTTTGGCTGGCTTCTTAAACCAGCGAGTGCACAGGGGTGTATATGGCTTCCCAGTGCTTGGAGCCTTTCAAGGATGACCAAAGCAAGGGTAGAAAAGGGTTTCTGCATACCCCAAACCGCCTTGGGATGGAAGGGTGTGGGTAGAAAAAATGGTTTTGGTTTCATTTTGTTTGCTGTGGCCAAGGTTTCTACCCGTTTTCTTTTATGATCGTTTCGAATGGGAGCAATCCTTTCCATGTGCATGGTCTGCGCCGTGCTCGTAGAGTGTCTTTTGTTTGATGGTTTGCTTTCAAAAAGAACCCAAAAAGGAAACATCTTTCAAAGTTCCAGTATGTGTCTAAAATCGAGGATTTGGACCCACACAATGGGTGGTTCTTTTTCCTTGATTTCCCTAACCAAGCTCCTACCGAGCTTCAGAAAGCTCCCCCCCCTTCCCCTCCGCCAGTACGGTACCGCACCTTCGGGAAGTTGCTGGCGCTGGCGGTGGCGAACCATTGCAAGCTCGCCTTTGCGTAGGGCGACCTAGCGCTAGGTGAGCGCCCAGCGCGGGGCGCGCCAGTGGCAGACATCTTGGCCGTTGCCATAGGTAGGGCTTGGTTGAAGATAGATGGGACCAGACTGGTTTCAGTTTGGCTCTCATCATTTTTGCCAGTGCGGCCCATCCATTGTTCAATATACTTGGGGTTGTTGGGAAGTTGCAGTTGCCAGTGGCACCGCTCGTCTCCACCTTTCGCAAATCGAAGTTGCCGTGCAACTCAACGGCTTTTGCACGGACACGCGCAACCTCGATGTGTGGCTGCACATGAGTCATTGAAATGATTGTCGATAATCTTACCCACACAATTACCCACAAATTAGCAACAGAAACTCAGGAGGGCGGGCCCCAATCTTCCAATGTCCTTGATCTGGACCCGGCGAGATTCGGCCCCCGGGCTCGGGCCCGCGATGTCGAAGTCCGTGTCGTCTGAGGCTGCCTCTGTTGTTCTTCCAATTCCTCCTGCGGCTTGGCCTGGTTAAGCCCAGGAAGTTGCGCGGTGCCAATCAGAGAGGATACTTACCAGAACCCTTCAAGGGAATCCGAAAAGAAAAAAAACAGGCTTGTTACTAAGGGGAAACATCACCGGTTTGTTGGTATGTATGACCACCCTTGTTTTGCCAGAAAGTTGGTCCTGCGAATCATAGATGCTCAACAGGACAAAATCCGATGAATCAGCCCACCAACCCGCTGGTGCGAGGCAGATTTGGTCCATCAGTACCCATTGCCCATCTCGCCCCCTGAGTTCCCGGACTTTCTATTTGGGAAGACCATTTCAGTGGCAAGCGAAAACAACGTTTCCAGTCGACTTTCTGCTTAAAATGGCTTGGGCCATTGTGGTACCCACCGAGTTTGGGGCCGATTGCTCAGCCACTCCTCTCGATCGAAGGGCCGGCTTGAGGCAGCGAGACCGCACGGCCAAGCTCGACGACCTGAAAGGCTTCGACAACGCCCTGCATGCCTCGCTGAGGCGGGTCCGGGGGTCGCGCCGAATGGCGGGGCGCCTCTTCTTGGTTTTCCGGGAGAGGTCCGGTTTTCCGGGAAGACTAGAGACAATGAGGCCATGGAG